GCGCTGTTAGTGCCACTATGCTGTGTTATGCTGCGCTACAGAGCTTTCAGCATCAAAAAAGTCCAAAAACCGCTAGAATTCCTTACTTAAGAAATTCATGGGAGGTGACAGGACAGCCATGGGATGTCACCAATGTCCAAGTGCGTGAGTGCCTGGAAGAGGACTGGACTGGATGGCGGTCTGTTGACTAGTCACACTCAGACACCAGCTAGAGACTTGTGATCTTCTCTCCACAGTGACTTGCCAAAAGCCCAGTAGCCTCCTTCCCCCCCCCCCAGCTCCACATCTCTCCGTCACTCTTTTCCAGCTTGCAGAACCAGTCTTGCATTTTTTGGGTCACCCAACCACCCTGGCTTCAGGGGATGGGGCAGCGCAAACCTCACTCCCCTCTCACTGCTGTTAGAACAGCAAGCTTTGTTTCTCTCTGCTTCAGGAGCAGAGTCTCACCCTTTTGTGAAACAAGCTAGTGGAACCCTCATGAATGAGTTAAGGTCCCTGGAAAACTGTTTTCCTACAAAAGATTCAAGACTCTCCCCGAGACCCAAACACCACCAACATGAAAACCCATTGTAACTGACGGGGACCATGAAGGATCACGGGATGAGTAACAAGCCTGATAACCTCCGGGCTAAATACTCTTGCCCCAGAAAAGTGTGCAGAGACTGAAACAGCAGAGATGGCTTGGATCCCTGTGTTGCAGTTATTTTTGGGTGGTGCTTAAATTTGGCTGGTGGAAAAGCCACCTCTCCTGCAAGGAGGGACTTACACCGGGGTGCTCCCCTGAGACCATCCACAAAAAAGTTGTAAATTTGAGTCTTTCAATTCTACGGACTGTAGTTTCAACACAGCTCATCCCAGCTGTGGGTATAGAATACTTGACATGGTAAATTTTTAGAGCTCACAACCTACTGTTTCCACCAAAGCAATTATCTTGAAATTATTTTCAAATCAAGCTCAGTTTCCTCCAATCTTGGCCTGCATGGCTCACGATTTTCATGTAACATCCAGATTTCAATTTTATATTTTGGTAGACCTTATCAAAAAAACATGGTTGAGGAAAAGCAACAGAATATGCAAGGGAATATTTCCTTCCATGGAAAGACATATGTAGCTCAAGAAATGAGTGAGCTACAGGCTGTGTAAGTCAAGAGTTAATTTTTTCAGATCTCCTCAGACAAAGGGCATGATAACCGCACACACTCCTGTACACCAAAAAATGGTGTGTGGGTGTGCACACTGTTTTTTTTTTGGGTGCATGCCTGTACATACCACCGTGTAGGACACCAGACGGTGTCCTAAAAAGAGGGGGAGGGGTCTCTCCCAATGATCTAGGTTGTAGACCATCTTGTTGGGAGGGATCACTCCCGACAAGATGGGTTGCACACCATCTAATTGGGACAAATCCCT